GCATTAGCATTATTAGCATTAGCCCAGCGCACCAACGGAGAGAGACTAACTTATGGCAACACAAAATAAAACGTGGGAGCGGTGGAGTGATGAGGAGGTGTCAGCGCTTCTGGCGATTTACCCGGGACTTCGGGTGGCAGTATACACCGTGAAGTTGTTTGCGGCCTGCCAGTAAACCCAAAGCAGAAGAAGAAGAAGTGACGTCAGCGGCTTCATTTGCGTAATCCTCCCTCAGGGAACTTATTCCGGTGTGAACGCGATTTACTAGGAGAGTTCCGGGACTAAAGAGTTCGGCGGGACTAAGTACTGGGAACTAAGTACGGCAAAGTACTTGGTGTGAAAGCGGCTATTGCTTTTCCGTGCAGAAGGTTCTTGTGTCATAAAGCTATCTCACACAATTCCCTCTGCACATCTGTTACACAATAGACCACAAAGCACCTTCACCTGAGGGGGGTAACAGTCAGAGAGCCTGCTCTGGGATTTGTTTTGACTTCTTGTTGTGTCAAGCAGAAAGCAGCTAAAGCTCACACATGATTTGTTGGGTTGTAGTGCACGACTCGTGTTCAAAGATAATTTATTTTCTTTTGGTGATAGCACTGTGAGCTTTGACACCGAGATCTGAGGCGCCTTCATCTGTGAGAAACACTCACTGAAGAATACACAAGCCAACAGCACTTACATACACACTCACTATCACACACACACAAACCTTAGGCAAATAGGGCACTGTAAGCACCAACAGGCAGAGTACTGTATATTGCACACACTCACTTTGAACACTCTATGTCACATTCAATGTTCAGCCCTTAAGATCTGTTTCTAAAGCATGCAGTCTCATGTATCTGAATGATTGATGTCTTCAAGTAAACCCTGCTATTTTTCAACCTCTGTATTGTTGTTATAATTGGGTCACTCTTTCACTGCCCTCTCCCCTCCGCTGTGCACATCCTGCTCACTTGGCAGTTGCAATTCAAGTTTTATTGAAAGACGATGGCAGGGCTTTAAAAAAATGATAAAAGACAAATTAAGACATGGGGAGCAAGAACAAAAAATATGCACATGGCTCTGTAGCTGGATGACAGGCTGTAGACGATATGGCTGGTCTATGGAAGGTTGGGTTGTATGGATGGCTAAACCAAACCTCAGACTGCTTTTATGTCCTGTTTCCTACCAGCGGTGCACGTTTTTTGGAGCATGACCACCATTGTTTATTCTATAACGTCAACGTTACAAACTAGCCCAAACCACAGTGTTTCCTTAAACCTTACAAAACAATAACTATTGTCACATCATTACACATTAATTTCCAAACCGTGATTTGTCATAACTATTGTGGGCCGACTTTTGAGGTAGACCAGCTATATAGAAGTGGAAGAAGTATTCAGATCTTTTACTTCGGTAAAAGTAGCAATAGTACATTTTTTGAAATACACTGTTCCATGTTAAAGGCTTGCTCAACGGTTTAGTACCAAAATTCAAAGTAATCTTTTTTGGGTAATACATTTGAAATGTTCGACACCGCGACAGGCACACTGGTATGGTCCATATATATATACACTTGTTTTGCGGTAGCATGCAATATTCTAAGGGGAACAGGGATGATATCACAGCCTGGTATGTAACCTCACAGTGCAGAAATCAAAGATCCCTGGCCTGGTACAGACTGCCATTAAAATGATGGGGGTTTCAAAAATATCCATCCCCCAAAACATTTGTGAGGAGTCAATCATTAGACCAGTGGCGAGCCGTCAGGGCCCTCTAGGCCCTCTCTCAAATGACAGTACAATTGACCAATCATATCTTCCCTCTAAATGGGTGGGCTTTATTTTCGCGGACTTTATGACAAGTTCTGCCCGCTGTGAAGTTTATGCATGTGTGTTATATAGTGGTGCAGTGACGCGTCCTAAAACCCGGAAGTAAGCTGCGCATGGGTTCCATCGACAAAAAAGCAATGGGATTTCTCCATAGGATTTTGGAAAATAGCTCGAAATAAGGTCTGTGGAAAACGAACCTGTTAGATGAATGCACGTTTTGTTCAGCCGGATAATATCCACATGTCTACCCTACTTTTATAATTTTTGAATCATAAATCTAATAGATTTATGATTAGCATAAGTTCGTTCATGATGGCTCATGTCAGTGATAGTGATGACATCGTTGCGAAATTATTAACCGAGTCATTTTCAAGATTGAGTTACAATGATAAATTGGAGTGGCAAAGGATCAGCTGCATGACCCCGCCATCAAGTGCTTCATCCAAAAGGACAGGAGGATGGACTTTGTGTTTAAGTGATATGATCTGTGGGCATCGTGTCGGATGAACACATGCTCCGCTGAGCGAAGCCCCACGGGAACCCGGGACACCGGAGTGCCGTGCTGAGCAGTGGGGATCGGAGCAAAGGCTTTAGCGGTGTCCTGCATGACGGCGCACAGGGTGGTCACCAACCAGGGGGCCGATGTGTTGGCGAGGAAATCCCCTGGAAACCGCAGCGGCTGACCGTAGACCATCTCAGCCGTGGAGCACTGCAGATCCTCCTTAGGCACGGTCCTATGGCCCAGCATAACCCAAGGCAGCTTGTCGATCCAATTACCGTCCAGGCTGGCCCTGAGGTGAACTGCGAACCACGGTCTGAGGAAATGTCCGATGGGGTGCCGAAACGACACACCCATGTCGCAATGAAGGCCCGGGCTATGTCAGCCGCCGCTGTTGATGCGAGTGGGATCGCCTCCAGCCAGCAGGTCGTCCTGTCCACCATAGTTAGGAGGTAGGTGAAACCTTGAGAGGAGGGAAATGGGCCAACCAGATTGATGTTGACGTGGTCAAACCTCCTCTCAGACACGAGGAATTGCTCCAGGGCGGCCTTCGCGTGGTGCTACATTTTGGCACGCTGGCAAGCCACGCACGTGCCGGCCCGCGCACGTGCCGGCCCGCACACGTGCCGGCCCGCACAGACGGCTTCCCGCCGGGGTGCGACAGGTCGTGCACCACCTCGAACACGGAGCGCCTCAAGCTGGTGGGAACAAAATCCACATCCTCCAGACGCAATCCCACGTCAGCCCCCTTCAGGGCCTGGACGCTGGGGTCCATGATCTGGTCCGCTGTCATGCGGGTATAGTCTTAGTCTTAGGGTATAATCTTAGGCTCTCTGTGAGGGCCTAAGATATAATATTTAAAAACATTTTAAAAATATTTTTTTTTTTTAAATATATATTTTCTTAATATTATTTTTGTTATATTTTTCATTAGTTTTACCGAAAAAAAACTTGATTTAATTGTATTTAAAATAACATTTCCAAAGAAATAAATCCTTCGAATCTGCCTGTTCAGTCTCTGTTGAATGTGAAGGGTTACATGAAAGAAGCTCGTCTGGCCCTCTCTGCGATTCACAGAGGGCCCGCTATAGTAACTGAACGAGAGAGTAATGTCAAATGACAGTACAATTGACCAATCATATCTTCCCTCTAAATGGGTGGGTTTTATTATCGCGGACTTTATGACAAGTTCCGCCCGCTGTGAAACTTTTCTTGTTTCCATAGCAACAACAACTTCCTGTCAACAGCGTGAACTCGCCTTCAAAATAAAAGCATGCCAAATTACACTTAAGACATACAACTGCAACGAAAGTAACAAACACAATGCAATATCCTTTTCAATGTCAAAGAACACAAATTGGGTTCACAGGTGTTGTTTTGTGTGGTAGAGGGTCGCTGTCGTTGATGCGTTTTGCACCCTGGGCCGTTGTTTTGATATTCCGCTGTGACGTAATAACTATTTTTTTTTCTTTTTTTCGAGGGAAGGGGTGGGGGTCAGAGGGCCTAGGTATAAAGCTCACGGCTCGCCACTGGTCGAGGCCCAACTGGACAGCCCCGATGACGAGGTGTCAGCTGAATAAGGCGAGTGGTTGCCAGGCGCCCTCCACCCATTATTAGTAGTAAGGGAAGAGGCTGACGGATGCGCCAACAGGGCCGCCTGAGCCAGCGTGGTCTTGACCTCCTTGAAAGCCTCCGTCTTCCAGCTGATCTCCTGGATGGGGGCCTTACACTTCAATGCCTCGTACAGCAGCTGCATAACGTGGGCGGCCCGGGCGATGAAACGGTGGTAAAAGGTCACCATCCCGAGGAACACACTGAGCAACCGGGCCATGTGCGGGCGAGGGAAAGCCGCGACACCTTCAACCTTTCGCCGGCAGGGATGCCGCCCTGCCCTTGGTGACGCGGTGCCCAAGGAAGAGTTGATTATTAACCCGTGTTGGCTGAGCCTCGTAAAAAGGGCGCGGAGGTGGGACAGGTGTTCTTCTTCCGAAGTGCTGGCGACAAGTATGTCATCCAGGTAGACAAACACAAACGGCAAGTCCCGCAGCACCGAATCCATCAGGCGCTGGAATGTTTGAGCGGAGTTGAGCCCGAAAGGCATCATTGACTTTAATGAAATGTATTATGTCAACAGATTTCACATAACTCTATTATGTTAGTTGAAAGCTGAAATATCAAGTTTAAATAACACATATTAGGTTCAATTTAAGATTATTGCTTTCTACTAACCTAATACAGTTATTTGTTGACGTAATACATTTCATTAAAGTCAATGTTTCCGTTTTTGCAGTGTTCTTTCTGTCCTTCTTAGCAGCAGTAATCACAGTAACTGTCCACCGCTCACTGCTGTTCATACTGTACCTCCTGCTATGTGGCAAACAAAGCTATGTGTCAATCATCCTGCAGTAGGTAGTTGCTCTAATAACAAACTAGATTGAAAGTCTGCCAGTTGACCCCTGGGACAGAGCTTTTCATCAATGGGCTGCTGTATGGTGTGTGTGATGCTCTCGCTGTGTTACTGCTCACTGATGCTTGCTGTGCACTGATAAGGTGCATGAAGAGGAGATTTAATAATCACTGCATGAAATTGAACTTCTGTAAATGGTATTGGGGATTTCAAATCACTGTTGAGCTGAAATTAAAGACATGAAAGTTGAATTTGATTAAAGAATAAATGAGAAAATTACCTGGATCTGACTTAGAGAAGGTGTCCATGTCCAACAGGTTTCTGCAATAAAAGGAAAGAAGCTGTTAAAGACTCATTAAAGAGACCTCATACAGTCATATTTAATATACAGTGTCAGTCATTCCAAATCGTTGCGATGCACCATCACCATGTCGTGGAAAAATGACAGGCACGTCAACCAGCTGTTGATTAAATGTCTCAGAAGGCGTCACTGAAAGGGATCTCTATGTGGCCAGTACGGAAATGAAAAGGAATTACAGTGATCAAGGACATTTTAAAGTTAATGTGAGTATTGTATCAAACTTGAATGTGGTCCTTTCCTTAAAAGAGGACAATAGGCGCGTTCACACCGGAGTACTTTTACCCGTACTTTTCCCGTTTAGTTCCGATAGTGCCTGGAATTTTGCGTTCACACCAAAAGGAGTACTTAGTTCCGAGAACTTTTACCCCCATTTTTAGTGCCTGCTAGAGAGGTGGTACTATCCTGGGGAGAAAAAAGTACCAATTTCGATTGGCTGGGCGAATTGCAAACCACGCCCCGTAAAACTCTGAAAAGTTTTGTGAAGCCGCCATTGTATTTGCTGGCATTAGCATTATTAGCATTAGCTGCTGGGAGTCCCAGCAGCTTCTACTGAAGCCAGTCCCCAACTCCGGGGACTTCCGGCCGGGGACTTCCGGTGGCAGTATACGCCGTGAAGTGGTTTGCGGCCTGCCAGTAAACCCAAAGCAGAAGAAGAAAAAGTTACGTCTCCGGCTTCATTTGCATAATCTTCCCTCAGGGAACTTATTCTGGTGTGAACGCGATCTGTACTTAGTTCCATGGGGGTACTAAGTGCTGGCACTAAGTGCTGGGCACTAAGTACAGCAAAGTAGTTGGTGTGAAAGCGGCTATACTATGCTCATTTTCAGGTTCATCAGGGGAGAACACAGAGATCTTTGCCTTTACAGACCATTTGCATGCACAAAAACCTAAAGAACACACTACAGGAGAGGAAAAAACCCAAACAATAAGAATAAGAATACATAGTATTTTAGCGTTTTTCCTGGTTCTCTTTAATAATAGGGCCCCTTTAAAATATAATTAAGCACAAATCCAGCCTTCATTTTGTAGTTTTAGCTGTTGTATCCATCAGTTATGATCAATGATACCTTTCAAATTCAATACAAAAAAACTGTAATAAAAACGTCCGTCAGTCAGTCAGTGGTGTGTGTCATTTTATATTTTGTCATCACGTATTGGAGGCATTGGAATTTCTCAACTGCCAACAGAAAGATAAAGGGGAATAACATAAGTCAAGGTTCAAACTGTTATATCCTTGCCAATAATATGAAAGTAGAAACATCATTGAGTCATTTTGTTGCCCCATCAAGGGAGAATCATACACACACAAACACAAAGAGCATCATTGCAAACACACATCAAATCAGTGCCAGGATAACGACCCAGTTTCTCGTCACAACTTGACACATTAGTGAGCGGTGAGTGATCACAAACACAGATCTGAAGCTGAGCAGTGACTGACAGGCTGATCTCCAGAGGGCTCCGAGCTGTCAAGGTGACGAGGGGCCACCGCGGGGGGCCCCTAGTGAGCATCCTCATATGTTCATGCCCTGCTCGTGTCGACATGCAATATATTCATATTCATATTCATGCAGCGACCTGAGAACAGAAGCCCTCCCCTCCCAACAGAGCAACAGTTGTATTGCTAAAACACGGCCATATGGCTCCCCCCCACATGCATATCATACAGGATTTACTGTGTTTTTAACACTATAACTGCCATCGGGTCAACCGTGTTGTACATTTTTCATCTCACTCTAAAAAATAGACAAATCAGAGTCAAAGAGACCTTGCTTAACAGGATTTCATTTTCTATTTTTAGGTATGGTACACTTTAATTTAATGTTTTTTTATTCAGTATTTCTGCAGTCTTTAATGAACACAATGTCTCACAGGACAGACACAGGCTGGCCAAACTGCATCTCCAATCATTGCTCTAACAATAGCACACTTCTTACTTTAAAAAAAGGATAATCCTGAGAGAATATAAATTGGTGAATATGAAGAGTGAGAAGAGGACATGCTACAATGACATAAACATACTTAAATCATTTTATGGGAGCTGTGATTGTTTGCCTGCTTAAAAATCAATTGTTTGACTTTGTTTTTTGACTAGTTTAACAGTAGATTTGCAGAAAAAATAAATAGGACTAATTATATTGCATTACAGAAGCTAGAGGAGTAGCATGTAGCTGCATTGGGACTGGGACTTTTGAACAGCTTCCACAAAACATCATCTCCAGTATAAAAAGGTGTAGCCACTTCAACTACATGGTCCAACAAGTTCGAGTTGGCTAATTTATAAAGATTATTTGGTGAATTCTATATAAAAGAGATGTGTAATGTGTAGAATCTGAGTAAAAAAATGGCCTCCAAGAATGTGTGTTTGTTATTGGGTGCTCAGGATCTCTCTGCCTGTTTGTAACATTGTTCGTTTAAAGAATATCAATGTATCCATATCTTTCAGTTAATTAGTTTTAATCCATATAAACACAACATATCAGTTTATTGGTGCCATGTTGCTGTTATAAATAGCCTTACAGAGGAGAGTATTCCTGTGAGCCTCAGACTGCTGGCTGCTACACACTGTGTGTCTGCAGGGTAACGGAGACATTTCCTGAGGCTCTGCTGCCTTTTTAATGCATAATCTCATGTTTGGACATGTTTAAAACATGATGTGTGATATTAAAAATATTAAAAAATTCAATATAAATACTTTATTATGTATAAAATAAACAAATGGATCCGTTGAATATTGAGGCCAAGATTCCAGTTTTTCATACTTTAATCATTTCACCAATTCTTTGGGAGAAGGGATTTTTAGGGTTTCCTTTAAATCCCAAATACATTTTTAAAAAAAAAGAAGCAATAGAGTGCCACAGTGACGCGTCCTAAAACCCGGAAGTAAGTTAGCATTTTACCACTTCCGGTTCCTTCGACAAAAAGCAATACAATTTCTCCATAGGATTTTGAAAAATAGCTGGAAATAAGGTCTGTGGTTGAGACATTGAAGAGACAGATCACGTTTTGTTCTACGACATTAAATACATCAGCATTGACCCCACTGGTGATTTCTGAAGAGTTTACATGTCTGAAAAACGATGGTTGTTAACAAGTAGCTGAATAGGACTACAGAAGTTGTGGAGGACGTTGTATGTGTTACGAACTCAGACACTTAGGATGTAGGAACCAATTGCACGACCCGGGAGACAGAGGTAAAGTATTAGTAAGATACTTTATTTTCCAAAATACAGCAATGAACAACAAAAAAGGTAACTATCAAATCTCTAACCGAGATGACAAAAATAGAGGAACAAAATGAAAGCGCTCACGTAGTGAGGAATCAAACTTTACAAGAGTACAAAGAGCATAGACCTGACCATAGCAAGAGACAATACGAACTGACAAAGAACACTTGGGAGACAGGGGAATATAAGCACAGGGTAACTAGACACAGGTGGGACCAATCCGGGGCGGGGCTGACATTGATGAGCACAGGAGACACAGGTGAAAATAATCAGGAAGCCTGGAATGAGAGAAAGCAAACGTAAATAACATGCATCTCTCTAGCATTTCTGTCGGTGCACAACAGTACCCCCCCCTCTAGGGCCAACTCCTGATGGCCCAGGCTGATTGTAAAAATCGTGGATAAGCGTCTTGTCTACGATAAATGACGCAGCTACCCAGCTTCTAGCCTCAGGACCGTAACCCTTCCAGTCTACCAGGAATTGCTTCCCCCTCCCCCTATTACGGACCTCCAGTAGCTTACGGACCTTGTAAACCTCACCCCCTTCAAAGAACTCGGGCGGTGGAGGGGGCTTGGAGGCGGGAACAAGTGTGCTCTCGCACACCGGCTTGATTTTACCGACGTGAAACGTCGGATGTACTCTCATAGTTCTGGGGAGTTGCAAGCGTACAGACACCGGGTTGATGACTCTGGACACCGGGAAAGGACCCACAAATCTCGGAGCCAGTTTCTTTGAGGCGACATGGAGTGGTAAGTCCTTAGTGGAAAGCCAAACATTTTGGCCTGGTCTGTAGGAGGGAGCGACCCTGCGATGGACGTCTGCAACAGCCTTCATCCGAGCTGAACTTCGGAGAAGAGCCTGGCGAGCACCAGCCCAAACTCGTCGACAACGTCTGATCATGGCATGAGCCGATGGAACCCTCACCTCTTCCTCGTTGTTAGGGAAAAATGGAGGCTGGAAACCATTGACACAATGGAATGGAGAGAGACCTGTGGCTGCCGTAGGAAGAGTATTGTGGGCAAACTCGACCCATGTGAGGTGGTCACTCCAGGTAGTCTGGTTCCGGGAGACGAGACAACGTAGCGTAGTCTCTAGTTCCTGGTTCAGACGCTCCGACTGTCCATTTGACTGAGGATGATATCCTGATGACAAGCTGACGGTGGCACCTATGAGTCGACAAAACTCCTTCCAGAAAACGGAAATGAATTGTGGACCCCTGTCGGAAACAATGTCATCAGGGAATCCATGGATCCTGAATATGTGATTCATCATGACCTCTGCGGTGACTTTGGCAGAGGGAAGCTTGGTCAATGGGATGAAGTGAGCCATCTTTGAAAATCGATCCACCACTGTTAGGACCGTAGTCTTGCCTCTGGATGAAGGAAATCCTGTCACAAAATCCATTGAAATGTGTGACCAAGGACGTTGGGGAATCGGCAGGGGCTGGAGCAAGCCCATCTTGACTTGTGATGAGGTCTTATTACACGCACACACCGGACAAGCCGCTACGTACTCTGCCACATCTTTCTTCATGGCTGGCCACCAGAAACGTTGTTGTATCCTGAACATTGTCCTTGTTACCCCCGGATGGCACGAAAGCACAGATGAGTGAGCCCAGTGGATGACCTTGGAGTGAAGAGCCTCAGGAACAAACAGCAGATTGTTGGGACACTCGCTAGGTGCTGGATTCTTGACATTCGCCTTTTTTACGTCCGACTCCACTTGCCAGGAAA